GGGACATGAGGGATTTGGGGGGGATTCGGGGGGCATTTGGGGGGGATTTGAGAGGACATGAGGGATTTGGAGGGATTTGGGGGGACATGAGGGATTTGAGAGGACATGAGGGATTTGGGGGGATTTGGGGGAACATGAGGGATTTGGGGGGAAGTTGGGGGGGGTATGAGGGATTTGGGTGGAAGTTGGGGGGGGTATGAGGGATTTGGGGGGGTTTGGGGGTCTCTGCTGGATTTTGGGGGGTCACAGGAGGGTTTGGGGGGTCCTGGGGGAGTTCTCGGGGGGACCTGAGGAGGTTTGGAACATGTCACAGAACAAAGGGAGCTCCAAGGAAACGTCCCGAAAGGCAGGAATGGGACTCGGGGAATTGTTGCAGCTGCTCCTCGACGACTCCAGGAGCAGAGGGCCGCGAGCAGAGCTGGATCCTCCTGTGCTGGGCTGCAGAGAACTTCCCAGGAGAAGCTGTGTGGAGGTGGCACAGCCCAGAGCGGGAGAGCTGCAGGCACGGAGCATTCCCTGGGTTTTTGCTCTGTATTCCAAGGCTGGAGCAGGGATCACTGCAGGGAGCAATCCTGAGGCTCCTCCAAGGCTGTCGCTGCTGACCTGCGAGGGACGTGAGGAGGGACAGCTGTGAGTTGTACCTGTGTTTGGATGATGGCAAACATTTCCAACTGGGGGGACATTGGGGGACATTGGGGACATTGGGGACATTGGGGGGACATTGGGGGGACATTGGGGACATTGGGGGGACATTGGGGGGGCATTGGGGACATTGGGGGACATTGGGGACATTGGGGACATTGGGGACATTGGGGACATTGGGGACATTGTTGGGCCAACTGTGGGACATTGGGGGAGCATGGTGACATTGGGGACATTGGGGGGATATTGGGGGGACATGGGGACATTTGGGGACATTGGGGGACATTGGGGACATTGGGGGGACAAGTGGGTGGACATTGGGGACATTGGGACATTGGGGACAGTGGGACATGGGGGGAACATGGGGACATTGGGGACATTGGGGGGCAAATTGGGGGACAATTGGGGACATGGGGGGAGACATGGGGGGACACATTGATTGGGGGAATTGGGGACATATGGGGACAATTGGGGCGTGGGGGAGCAATCAGGGGACATTGGGGGACATTGGGGGACATTGGGGAGACATTGGGGGGACATTGGGGGGACATTGGGGGGACATTGGGGACATTGGGGGGACATTGGGGGGTCAGGGGTCATTTTCAGGGGGTCAAAGGTCACCTGCTGGTAGGTGTTGGTGGCAATGATTGGCCGCAGGATGGGGGGCGGGGCCAGCAGGTACCCAGGGGCGGGGCGTGGAGCCCCCAAAACCTCCTGCTCGAACCTGGGGGGGGAGGGGCACCGGTGACACCCCCCCAGTGACACCAGTGACCCTCCCAGTGCTCCCAGTAACACCCAGTGACCCCCCAGCACCCTCCCAGTGCTCCCAGTGACACCCCAGTGACCCCCCAGCACCCTCCCAGTGCTCCCAGTAACACCCAGGGCCCTCCCAATAACACCCCCATCACCAAGCCCCTGGCCCCGCCCACATGGCCACTGGGAAACCAAGCACCGCCCACCCCAACCCCTTAGACCCCACCCCTGTTGCCATAGGAACTCAAACTCCTCCCACTGCCCCAAACCCCACCCCATTGCCATGGACACCCTTAAACCCCGCCCACTGCCCCAAGTCCCACCCACTATCGCCATTAACCTCCAAGCCCCGCCCACAATCATTAACACCCCAAAGCTCCTCCTGCCTCTAAGCCCCACCCACCAGAGCGACCCCACCTCTGTTGCCATGGCCACACTCAGGCTCCACCCACCTCCCAAGCTCCGCCCGTTGCCATGGCCACTCCCAAGCCCCGCCCCCGTTCCCATGGCACTCCTCCCCTCCCTGCGGCCCCGGCCCCGCCCCCGTTGCCATGGCCACAAAGCCCCGCCCCTTCCCCCGCTCCTCACAGCGCCATCTCGGCCTCCATCTCCTTCAGCCGCTCCTCGCCGCTCTTCGCCGCCGCTCCGCCTCCCCCCGCGCCAAATCCTCTGCAAAGGGAGGCTCGTCCTCTGGGGAACCGCGGGGCTCAACACCAGGGCAGCAGCAGCAGCAAAGGGACTCTGCCAACTGCTGGCACGGGGGGGAGGGGGGCACTGCAGGCCACAGGGGGAAGAAACCCCACACTTGCTCTAATCTAACACACCTCAAAAGAGACCTGGCAGGAGTTAGGGACTTTCAAACCCAGAAGAGGATTTCGAAGGAGTAGCAGCTTCCCTGGCAGGGCCTGCACAGTACCAGGGCTGTGCCCACCCCTGCCCCTGATGGGGATCAGCCATCTCCAGCATGGCCCAGCAAATAGAACTCACAAAGACCACGAGAGCAAAGAAAAAGGCAATCGAGTTATCGGATGGTTAATAGCCTTCCTTCACTCTGCCTTGTCTTTACCTCTGATTTTTAAAGAGTGTTTTAAATTCAGTTAACTACACAGAACTGTCAGACAAAGCCAACTCCTTAACCCAAGGGAAATAAATCACATGGCACCAGAATATCTACAAAATTATTCTGAAGTTTTGCATCTGTGGTAGAAATTTTTCATGAGCTCAGCCCTGCTTTCTGGATGTCCCTGATGGGGTAACACGGGAGTGAATTTGAAATCACCAGGCTGCTGGCAAAGGTGAGCTACTCTCCCGCCGTCATTCACATTCCCAACACACGTCCTGTCACCGCGCACAACAGCACAGGCTGAACATTCTGGGAACGCTGGATGGGCTACAGAGAGCTCAACTCACTGCAAAAGGTATGGATGGGAGAACTTCCAGCTCCCCAGAGTTTAGCCGGGATCATTCAACTCCAGCTCCCTGCAGGCACACCCTGGCTCCCTGCAGCCCTCACCACACAAGTGCTGCCTCCAGGCTGTGGGCACCTGGGGCAGGAGACCCTGGGAGCCTCCCAAGAAGTGGTATTTACAAATACACACTAAACAGCGTCTGCTGTGGCTTCCTGAGAAGGGTTCGTTCACTTGACCCTTCCTGAAATGAAGTAAAATCTTGTCAGAGGGATTCAGCTCTGCCCAGAGTTCAGCACAGGAGGGAGAGGTTGCTGCACGCCAGTGGAAGCCCTTGTCTAGAGCAGCCTGCTTGAGGAAAATTAGCAGTGTGCACACCTCTAAACGAGGCTGTACAGCAAGTAAAAGAGGGATTAGCCATGTAAAGTAAGTCCTTTTGGTCTTAGATTAAAGAGGGGAGGTGACTTGGAAGGATTATTCGAGAGCCATTTCAGCAGTTTTCAGGGACTTACAAACGCGGGGTAAAAATGCAGCTCCTCGGGTCCAGAAAAGAATAAAAACCAGTGTCCTGGCCAGGGAAGCAGCAGAAAAGGCTTCTGGAGGGACCACCCGGCTGGCCCCAAGTGCAGACCCCCCCCGCTGCCCACGATCGGTACCGGCCACGGTGCGGCCAGAGCATCACCTGCACAGCCGGGCTGGAGCTGCTGCAGGGAGCCAGAGGGACTGGGGAAGGGGCTCCCACAGCCACGATGCCACTGGGATGGGTCACAGCACCTCCGGCCCCACGGCGGGTGGGAGGGCAGCTCTGCCCACCGTGCTGGACAACGTGTCAGGAAGGACCTTGGGAGCAGCACGAGCGTTAGAACCGGAGCCTTACACCAGTCCCTGCTCTCACCTCAGGGATTTATCGGCTGGGATGCAGGTCCTGGACTGAGCCACGGAAACGGGAGGATATGCCAGCACAAACACAAAAACTGACTTCTCTCCCCAGCCGAACGTTCCCCTGCTTCCCTGCACCTCCGGGTGCCTCATCGACGTGCTGGCTCTTAATCCTTTGCCCACATTAATCCAGCCAGTGGAAATGAAGACGTGGCTACAAGACATCAGGCGGCTTTATCAACCCTCCTTGCAAAAAACCCACAAACCCTCTTTTGCTGAGCCTAAAAGGTGACGGATAATTAGTATGTAAGATCCCAACTCTTCCCACTTGTTATGCAAGCAGCATCCTTTAAGTTGTAGTTTAGAGAGCAAGTCATTCCTGTCTGGGATCAATAAAACAACCCGCTGCAGTTTGTTGCTCAGGACACGGGAGCAGCATCAGCCTGGGGAAGGCGAAAGGAGCTTCAGCTCCAGCCGCGTTAGCCAGCAAAAAGTTCTGTGCCAGCCTGGCGGGAGCATCCCTGCGCGTGCAGGGAGGGAGGGATGGAGGGAGCGAAGGATGCTCCCGGTCCCGCCGCTCCCGCTCCCCGTGCCCGGGGGCAACGCCCCGACCCCCGCCCGGGCCGACTCTGCGGACCCCGCGCCCAGCCCCGCACAGAGCTCCGCCCGGCCAGGAGCCGCGGGGGCACTGCGGGGAGCCCGGCGGGGCAGGCACCGCGTCCGCCCGGCCCCGCATCCCCGCCGGCTCCCGCAGCGCGGCCGCGCTCTCCTTCCCCCGAACCGCAGCCTTTCCTAATTTCCTTAGTTATTCCTATTTTCTTTCCCCTTTCTAACCCCCCCTGCCTGCTCCCGGTGCCGAGCCGCGCTCACCTGTGCGGGCGGGGGGGACATGCCCTGCCCTGCCCTGCCCTGCCCTGCCCGGCGCGGCTCCCGCAGCCCCGCGGTGCTCCCGGTGTTTCCGCACTCCCGCAGCCCCGCGGTGCTCCCGGTGTTCCCGCGGCTCCCGCAGCCCCGCGGAGGTCCCTTCGCTGTCCCCTCGCTGTCCCTTCGCTGTCCCTTCGCTGTCCCTTCGATGCCCCGCCGGAGCCCCGCCGGGCCCCGGGGCAGCGCTCGGTGCCCGCCCCCTGCCCCGTTCGCGCTCCCGCAGCCCAGGTGCTGCTCCTCCCGCACCTGCGGGATCCTCCGCGGCAGCCCCGAGCCTGTTCCCGTCCCGCTCCCCGCCTTTCCCGCATCCTCGCCCGCTCCCGCTCCCGCTGACGGCAGACCTTGCAGTCCCAAATTACCGCTCGCGGCTTTTTGCCCCTCCGCTTTTAATCCCAAATTTGCCCTAATTGTCTCGCTCTTCCAAAGGAGCCTTTCTCCTCACCCGCCTGCTCGTTCAGCCCTTTGCATCCACCTGCTGCTTTCCTTCCCTTCCTCATCCTCCTCGGCCGAGAAATGAGTGTCTCGTGCAGGGAGACGAGGAGCCGGAGAGCGGAGCACCCCTGGGGACCAGCTCTGCCGCTTCCGAGCCCTTTTGGCACCCCTGTGCCCAGAGATGCTCCCAAACCTTCCGCAGGATCCCTCCTCAGTGTCTTTACTTGCTACCACAACCAACTGATGAGCCGCCAACTGCTTTCAGAGTCTGAGTTTAGGCTGAATCAGCAGCACAGTGGAAAGGCACAAAGAAAAGAAAAAGAAACGTATTCAGAAGTGAGGCTGGGACCTACCTGTCGTGGTTGGGACGGATACGAAGCAGCAGCAGCAGCCACGAGCTGCAGTTTACAGCCTCTTAAATACAGCTCTTCAGGCACACGTCTACCACACAGATAGGTCCATTTCAACACACAAACTACAATTCTTACAGCCAATAGGTGGATTTTAGTTGCACTTTCTCAGTTCTACTTTCTCACAACATTTCTGTGCGCCTGTCCCTGTTTTCCTTTGATGTTTATATTTTTCTCAGTCACTCTGTTCAAAACAAGCCCTCGTTCCCACGAGACAGTATCCTTGTTCTCACAGGAATAGTGGCCTTGTTCTCTGGATGTTTTTCTCCTCTTCTCAGGGTGCCTGCTGTCAGCACTAAGGCCTTTATTCTCAGTCAGTTTTTCGTTCTATACCAGGGGTCCCGGCCCAGCCGGGATTCCCCACACCTACCTGTGCCCCTGTCCCGAAATTCTGTCCTGGGAAAGGCTTTTAAATGCCTGTGCAACAAAAAATGCCTTCCAGTGCAAAGAGGGTATTCAGTCTAAACTGTGCCTCCCCTGCTGCAGCTCTTCCCTGAGGCCCTGAGGTGTCCTGGGCCCAGCGAGCCAGGAATAATTCCCCCTTGGGTTGCCAGTCCAGCTCTACCTGAGACACTTTCACCTGCTCAGTCCCACCCACCTGTCCATTGTTGGATGTCACTCAGGAGCCCAACTCTTGGCTCCCTGTGCATCTCCAGGATGGACTTGCCCAGCCAACCTCTCTAGCCGGGTGGCAGGAGGGCCTGCCCTGATAAGGCCTAAAATGCCATCAGACAATGCCAACAGTGCCAGCTCTCCTGCCAGCTGTCTGTGAGATCTGCCAGTTACTGGTGCCACCATGGGGATGGGTTTGGTGTTGGATGATGCTCAAACCAGCCTGGTTCACCCAACTGCAAACACACAGCCTGCTTTTGGAAGTTGGGTGGGACAGAGAAGCTGGTAACTGGCCTGTCCATTTGTGAGGAGCAGTCAGTCCCTTTATACTAGAGAAGTCCAGTCCCCTTTCATCCAGGCAGGTTCTTCTAACACAGCCCTTCTTGGGGTCGATGTGTGGAGATTCCTGCCTTGGCTGGGGATGCCCTCCAAGGACATTCCTCAAGGCTGAGCAAAAGAAATCTCCCAGTGACCATTGGTTTGGGTGAGTTCCATCAGATCTCTACGTAATAATTATTTATTTTGGCTAGCTTTAATAGAATTGTTTCAATAATTGCTTCAATATAGGGCACTATCCTATCTTATACTGTACTACTAGTAGTTTTAGCCTTTATACTGTCTAGTAAATAATTCTGATTAAGATTTTTGTCCGATCTTTTGTAAGAATAAATGATTCATTTTATATCAATATTCTCATTTGGCCAATCATTAAATCCTGTGGGACAAAAGTGGTTCAATCCCACTTCTGTAATTCCTTAAATTTAATTTGTTGACAAAATCTGAGGCAAAGATTGGATCCCTTATTCCTTGAGACTCTGCAGTGGGACAATGGCTCCTTGATTCCATGAGGCTGCACTGTTTCCCAGTGTTCTTTGGCTCCAGAAGGCCCTGCAGTGCACTGCAGTGCCCACAATGGCCCACTGATTCCATCATTTTCCCCAGGGTCACACTGGCCCCTCGATTCCATGAGGTTCCACAAAGTCCCATTGGTTCCCTTTGGTTCCAAAAGGTTCTGGGATGTCACACTGGCCCCTTGATTCCCTGACGTTCCACAGAGTCCCGGGGTCCTTTTGATTCCATGAGGTTCCGCAGTGTCCCATGTTCCCTTTGGTTCCAGGAGGCCCCAGTGGATTCCAATGGCCCCTGGATTCCAGGAGATTCCACAGTGTCCTGGGGTTCCCTTGTCTCCCTGACTTTTGGCAGTGCCCAGGGTCCCTTTGTTCCCAGGAGGTTCCTTCATTTCCATCAGGCCCTGCCACGTCCCAGACTCCCTTTGGTTCCGTGAGGTGCTGCAGGGTCACAATGTCCCCTTTATTCCAGGAGGTTCTGCCATGTCCCAGGGTTCCTTTGGTTCCATGGGGTTCCACAGGGCCAAAACTCCCTGCTCCTTATCCTTCCAAAATTCTTGGGCCCGTTCTCTCCCTGCCTGGGACGGAGCCCCATTGTGTTTGTGCAGGAATGGATCCATGGCCATCCTGCCACTGCGCCAATTGAATGCTGCACAAACGTCACTGCAGGCCCGACCCTGGATGCAGGAACAGCCTGGGAACTCCAGGCCTGCTCCCATTCAGCAGAGCCAGTCGGGGTCCCAAAGAGCACAATGGCTTGACTGCAACCCCTGCAGTTCTCTGGCATTGCTGGGGACAAATGCAGGAACTGCCAGGAGCTCTGCAGAGCCCTGACAGTGCCACTGCAATCCCAAGCTGCATTGCCCGGGGCAACCCTCAGCACAGCCAAGGCCACAACCCTTCCTGAAAGGTGTCCCTTCTGGGCAGGGCCAGGGGGACAAACCCCTCCATCTGTCCCTGCACATGTTGGGTCCAATTCTCAGCCCCCACTTAGGGACAAAGTCAGGCTACACTGGGTGTTTAGCTTTGCATTCCCTTCACTCTTTTGTGCTTCCAACACACACACCCCCAGTCTGGGCAGAGTCTGGCCCCCCAAAGAACACAAGACCTGACTAGTTGTGACTCCCGCTGCAGGGGCTGGAACTTGGGCCACAGTCTGTGCCAGGAGCAGAGAGGTCCCTCCCCACAGAAACTTCTTGGCAATGGAGTTCGTAAGAAAACGGGACAGACTGTGGGGATCACTTGCAGGGCACAACCAAGGACCTGTCTTGACCAGCCTCCTGTTTAACAGGACCAGCTTTTTCAGCCTCTTTGCTCTCTCTTTTCTCGTGCTTATTCCTCCAGTGACCACTGGGATCCTCCCCTTGCTTTAGTTCCTTCCGAGACATCCCAGGACAAGTCTTGCCCAGTCCCCAAATCCCCTTTCTGGCTGCTCATCATGAGGCTCAGAGCCCAAGGCTGAATCCCCCATCCTCAACTGCAAGGTCACCCTGAGAGGTTCTGCCATTTTCCCACTTGCTTAAGGTTTCATACAGATACCTTGGAACTACCTTGGAATTATTTTTTTACCTTTTGGGCTTAGAAGGTTTTCTCCAAAAACATGGCAATTCATGTCCTAGCAATAGGAATTCTTTGGAGAAAGAAGTTTGGGATATTAGACTCAAAGAATCACAGAATGGTTTGGCTTGGAAGGGCAATAAAAGCTCCTGTGGTGCAGACTCCTGGACATGGAGAGTGACATCTTCACTAACTGAGACTGCTGTTCCTTCTGTTCCTGACCTTGGACAAATCTAGAGAGCGCACATCCTCTTCTCTTGGTACCTGTTGCAGTTCTTGCCAGCCCCACTGGTAAATATTTCTTCATTTTATCCAATAGAAAGCTCCCCTAGGTCAGTTTAAATCCATTGCCCCATGTTCTGCCACTCCAGGCCTTGGTAAAATGAATCCCTGGGACTATCTCAGACTAGGAGCACAATGTTTTCATCTGCAAAACCCTTGGAGAGTGCTCAGAAATGTCCCTACACAAAGTTTGTCCCCATCTCTCTTAGAAGCCCCTGTGGTGGTGCATCCTCCCCCCACTGTCCTCAGGCCTGGTCGAGGATCTCAGGAGCTCCTGACAAGCCCTGACCAAACCAGCTGAGCAAGGAAGAGCCACTGGACTGCACCAGGGGTGTGGGGAAGTGTCCCTGGACTGGACCAGGTGCTTCTGGATGATACAGGTGGGAACAATCCGGAGTGGAATGGATCAGTCATCCCATGAAAGCCTTGGAACATTCCCTACCTGAATTGTAACCCAAATGGAACACTTTTGGGTACAATTCCCAAATATTTTGGAAATTACAGTCATTACTGCCACCAGGATGGAAAT